CCTCCTCCTCCTCCTCCTCCTCCTCCTCCTCTTCTTCTTCTTCTTCTAGCCTTTTGAGGAAGCTCTATACTATTTTCTACAGTTGTTGTACTAACTTACATTCTTACCAAGACCATAAAAGTTTGCCCCTTACTCCTCATCCTCACCATCACTTGGGGTCTTACCTTACTAGAGTGAGGTGGTATCTCACTGTGGTTTTGATGGTTATCCATAGCTACCCTACCATGTGACAGCACAACAGAACTTTTTACCATTACCTAAAAGTAACTTAGTACTCATGATCAGCTTTCCTCCATGCTACTATCCCTGCTTTTGGTAACCACCATTCTACTTTCAGTTTCTAGGTGATTACCATCTCTAGAGTCCCCATCTGAATCCCTGAGGATTAGTTGATATTGAATATTTTTCATATATTTGCTGGTCATTTGTATGTTTTCTCTTGAGAAATGTTTGTTTATGTCTATTGTCCATTTTTAAACCAAGTTATTCTATTTTTTATGTCATTCAGTTTTTTAAGTTCTTTATATAATTTGGGTATGTTCCTTATCAGATATTTAGTTTTCAAACACTTCCTTCCATTTTGTAGATCTCCTCTGATAATTATTTCATTTGTTGTACATAAACTTTTAAAATTTTATGTAGTTCCATTTGTCTATGTTTGCTTTTGTTCTCTGTGCTTTTGGGGTCCAATCTATTTCAAAGACCTAAAGTATTTCCCCTGGGTTTCCTCTAGTGGTTTCATTGTTTCAAGTCTTACATTAAAGTCTTCAATCCTTTTTGAGTTTATTTTTGTGACTAGTGAGAGATAGGGTCTAGTTTAATTCTTCTGCATGGATATCCATTTCCCTAGCCCCATTCATTGAAAAGACTTTCATTAACCCATTGGGTGTTCTTTGCACCTTTGCTGGAAATCAGATGTCTGTACATGTGTGGGTTTACTTCTATGCTCTCTATTCTTTCATTGGGCTATATGTCTGTTTTTATCCCAATACCATGTTGTTGTGAAGACTACAATTTGTAGCATATTTGCCTCCAGCTTGGTTCTTTCATGGTCAGAAACGACACTTCATATGATTTCAATTTCTCAGATTTGTTGAGTCAAATCATATGCCTACCATATGGTTTATCCAGAAGAATGTTACATGTACTGATGAGAAGAATATATATTCTACAGGTGTTAGATGAAATGTTGTGTAGATGTCTGTTAGATATTTGGTCTAGGATACAATTAACTCTGCTGTTTCTTTACTGATTTCCTGTCCGGAAGATCTGTCTATTGCTGCAAGTGAGATAGTGAAGTTTCCAATTATTACTGTTTTGGAGTATATCTCTCCTTTTAGGTCTATTTGGATTTGCTTTGTTATGTGGGTACTCTGATATTGGTGCATGTATATTAATTTCAATTCTAATAATTTAGAATTATTATTTCTTGTGTTGAATTAACCCCTTTATCATGACATAGTGACCTGTCTTGACTAACTTAACTACTCTTATTTTAAAGTCTATTATATCTGATATAAATATGGATATTCCTTTTTTGGGGGGATTCTATTTGATTAGAATATTTTATTCTATCCCTTTAGTTTCAGTCTATTTGTGTCCTCAGAGATGAACTGAGTTCCTTATAAGCAGTATCAGTTGGGTCTTGTTTTTGGTCCTTTCAGTCATGTTATGTATGTAATTTATGTATGTATGTATTTTTGGTACCATGGACTAAACCAGGGGTGCTTCACCACTGAGTGACATCCCCAGCCCGTTTTATTTTTTTATTTTGAGACAAGCTCTCACTAAGTTGCTGAGGCTGGCTTTAAACTTGCAATCCTTCTGCCTCAGCTCCCTGAGCCACTGTGATTATAGGGGTGCACCACTGTGCCTGACCTACGTTTTTATATTGGAGAATTAAATGCATTTAAGTTTAAGGTAATTATATTTCTAGTTTTATTGCAGTTTCTTTCTCTCTTTTTTTCCTTCCTCTTTTATAGTCTTCCTTTGTGGTTAAGTGATTTACTCTAGCAGTGTGCTTTGATTTCTTGCTTATTATTTTTGGTTTGTCTGTAATAATTTTTGTTTTGTGGTTACCATGGGGCTTATAAAAACCTTCTTTGATTATAATGAGCTGTTTTAAAATGATAGCAACTTAACATGATCATAAAGTGAGGAAATACAACAAGAAATGAAATAGAAAATATACTAAAACAAACTCTGCACTTGCATGCCATTCCTCTATACATTTTGAATTTTTTGATGTCTAATTTTCATTTGGTATATTGCCTATCTCTTCATGTATTTTTTAATTGTTTTGTTTTTAGGATTAATTATTAATATAAAAAGAATTTTACCACCATGTTTACGATATCAGAGCATTTTGAATTTGTCTTTGTATTTACTCTTGTAGTGAATTTGTTCCTTCTCATATTTTCTTGTTCATTACTGCCTCTTAATTTTAGTTCTTTCAGTTAGAAGAACCCCCTTTAGCATGACTTAGATATAACATCTCAGCTTTTGCTTAGGAATGACTTTATTTTTCCTTCATTTCTAAAAAAAAAATAGTTTTGCTGGGCATAGTATTCTTGGTAAGCAAGTTTTTTGTTTGTTTGTTTGTTTTATGAGTACTGTGAAAATTTCTTGCCACTCTCGGTATACAAGATTCTGTTCAGAATTCTGCTGTTGGATAACCTGGGACACACTTATGTGTTATTTATTTCTTCATTTGCTGCCTTGAGAATCTTTTCTTCATATTTCACCTTTAATAATCTGACTATAATACGTCTTGGCACAGAACTGGTTGTGCTAAATTAGAATAGTGACATTTGACCTTCCTTTACCAGGATACTTGTATCCTTCTCTAGACCTGAGGATGGTTTTTATTATTATGTCTTAGAATAAACTTTTTATAAATTTAATTTTATTTTTTTACACAAATGGAGCACAACTTTTCATTTCTCTGGTTGTACATGATGTAGAATCACACCATTTGTGCAATCATACCCATACATAGGGTAATAATGCCCCAAATTGAGAGTTAAGCAGTAAAGATAGTTCCTTCACTGTCACAGTTTATGTTAACCTAGGTTCCACTTGCATCTCATAGCCATAGGAACCTGTGCAGTCAGGTGAGCTAGAGGAGGCTAATGTCCCAGGCCCATTCCAAGGCTGGAATTGATATAAGCCAAAAATCCAGCCCATTCTACTGGCATATAGGTCTCCTTCTAATGCCAGAGCAGGTCTAGATGCTCTGTCTTTGACTTATGGCATGGCCATCCGGCCTTTGGATTCTACCCCTAGGTTTCATTGCAGTGGTATCAGACAAGATAAAATCCTGGTTTGATTGTTACACACTGTATACATGCATTGAAATAATATACCATAACATATAAATACATACCATCATTATTTGTGAATTAAATTTTTTAAAATTATGTTTAAATCCTCCCAGAACACCTGTTCCCTGCCAGGTAGACTTATAGAACTCATTCAATGAGGATTTTAAGATGCCGTCTGGAATAGTAGTTCAATAGATGAGTACCACATGTCTCCTCCTGACATTGGGGTTCCTCTAGCGGCTGTGGTGGTTTTGATGCCCTGTTTCTTAGTAGTAGTTTTCATGTCCTGCTTGAAATCCTGTGGTGGTTTTGATGTCCTGCTTCCTGGTAGCTTGAGTCTTGATCCTCTTTCTATTGCCCGAGGTAGGGCAAGGGGTGGTGGGAACAGTCAGCCACCTGGCTAATGCAATTCCATCACCTATGACTATTGTTACTGGCCTGGGCATAGGGATCATGGGGCTTTGCTTGGCACTGGGTTTCACTGTAATGGATCTGGTACTGGCTTTCAAATCCAAGGATTGGACTTAATTCTTTCCCCTTTTCCTAAGCATGTAGTGTCTCTTTTCATACTTTTTGAAGTTGTGGGAAGGGTGACAATGGCAACTATTCCCTTCCTACCTACTGCCATGTATCTTTTCTTATTTTCCTAAAACCAGGCACTATGAACTCTCATTGGTGCTTCTTGTCTCTTGTAAAGATAGTGTAGTGGGAAGATAGCTGTCCAAACTGGTGTGTCAATGAGGTGATTATTGCTTAAGCATCTGGTTCTGTCCTTGTGCATTTATATTTAGTGGTAAGACTGTTCTTAAGCAGTGCAGAGTTGGGCATTATAGACGTCATTATCTAGGAGTGACTGGGCCTTAAGAGAAAATTGCCAAGGTGTAAAATGAAGTGTGCAGAGGAAAGTATGGTATTAAAATGCTACCACAGCCACACTGTAAAGTGGAGCTATGCTTATTTATTATTTAAAAGTTAGTAAAAATACAAGTTTATAATTACTGTTAGTACAAATGTTCACTCTCGATGAATAGCTCATTTGCTATTTCTTAATCTAAAATTTTGCATTATATAAGTACACATTTACACACTTTGACTCCTTTCATTTATAATTTCAATGGTTTTGGTATTATTCTCATCTTAATAAAGAACATGCATGTGAACTTAAATCCACAAAAAAAATCAAAATGTATTTTGAGTCATATTTTTAATGTATTGTGTTCTTCTTGATACATAAAGGACCTACTGCATTTGACACTGAATCAATTAATACAAAGCAGAAGAGCACAGATAAAATTAAAATAATCTAATCAACTATATATAAATAAACTGACCTTCTTAAAATTTTTGTTTAAGTCAACCAGACTGAGCAGGAAAATGTGGTCCTTGGCTCCCAGGAGCAGCTTGCCCCTCTCTTCATCTAACAGAATAGTCTGGAAATCCAGCCCTTCTGATGAACCCAAAAATGGAATGCAGCTATTTGACAGCAGCAAATCTATGGGAAAGAATGAAAGAAAAAATTATATTAGGCAAAATATTTACTTCTCTCTCTCTGTAAATACATGTATATAACATGAAAGTTCCAATTAAGATACTTACAAATAATTACAGTTTTTAATATATACTCATTTAGAAATAAGTGAGATGTATGATATTTTTATTTTATCAATACCATTTTATGTATATTCAGCACCATATTAAAATGAAGACCAAACATATAAACACAAAACAATTAAATGCAAAATAGTTTAAAACTATCCTCACTTTCTTGAATTACAATGTAAAATATCTACCTATAAGAATATTTGAAACTTGATAAAATTGATATATACAAAGCAGGGATCAAACTATGTCATAAATCTTAACATTTCTTTCCTTTTTACATTTTAAAATAGACCTGATTTATTAGAGCATTTTTAAATTAACAGTGATATTGATTGAAAGAAACAGATTTATATTTATTTCCTGCCCCAACACATATATGGCCTCCCCATTATCAACATCTTCCACTATAGTGGCATATTTCTTAAAATCAATGAGCCTACATTAGCATCATTATCATTCAAGATACATAGTTTAGGGTTCAATCTTGATGTTGTACATCTTATAGGTTTGGATAAATGTATAATGGCATGTATCTATCATCATAGTATATCCTGAAAGTCTTGTGTGCTTCTGTGCTCTCCCTATTCATTCTTCTCGCCTGCCCCCAATCATTCATCTTTTTCATGTCTCCATAGTTTTGTCTTATCAGAATGTCATATAATTGGAATTGTACAGTATGCTGCCATTTCCTATTGGCTTCTTTTACTAAGTAATATGCATTTAAGCTTCCTCTGTGTCTTCCTGGGTCAGTATCTAATATCTTTTACTGTGGACTAATATCCCTTTATCTGGATCAGCCAGTTTAATTATCCATTCACTTTTTGAGGGACATTTTTATTGCTTCCAAGTTTTGGCAATTATGAATAAAGCTGCTATAAACATCTGTATGTGGGACAGTTGTAAACACAAGCCTTCAACTTTTGGGAGTAAAAACCAAGAAGTCTGATTGATGGATCACATGTTTAGTTTTATGAGAAGCTGCCCACTGGCTTCTAAGATCCCAGTACCATTTTCATTTACACCAATGATTGAGTGTTCTAATTGCTCCATATCCTCATCTGCATCCATGTTGTCAGTGTTCTCAATTTTGGCCATTCTAGTAAGTATATAGTGATAACTTACTGTTGTTTCAAATTTGCATTTACTTGATTACATAATGTATAGAGTGACTTTTCATATGCTTTTTTTTTTTTTTTTACTGTCTATATCTTCTTTGGTGAAGTGTCTGGTAAGGTCTTTGACCCATTTTAAACGTTGTTGTTTCTTATTGTGAGTTTTAATGTCTTTGCATATTTTGGATCACAGTACCTTATCATATATGTCTTTGGAAAATATTCTCTTGCAGTTTATGGCTTATTATTTTTGCTTTCTGTTTTTGATAGTATTTAGATTGATTTCTGTGATTAATGGATTATACTGTCACTATTTTAAATGTGCAGAAAGAAAATGTAAACAAGGTGATTCCAACCAAATGAAGTCTGAGACATACACTTGATCTAGCAATGGCATCAGAAGTTTTAAGCTGAAAGTAACCTTGAAAATCAATTAATACAAATTAATGATTTTCTAAGTGAAGATATATAATGTTGGTGAGTTGAAGTCATATGCTCTAAAGAAAAATAATGGTGTGCTGTCAAAGCTGATAAGTGAATTTGAGTTCCTAGTTTTCATTTCATTGATGTCTGTCCAAATACTCTAAGGAACCCAAATCTTTTCAACAGGTTTTTTTTTTTTCACTTCAAATACTTAACAATAATCTCTAATTTTCTACAACTAGAATATTGAATGTTGACAAGGTAATAATATTGCTCATTACTTTATTAAATTCTATCATATGTTATGAGTTTAAAACCAAATCATTGGTTTAAATAATTCATATTGATTGATGATAAATGTAAAAGAGATAATATCTCAAAAATAGACATGAAGATACTACTTAAAAGTATGGAAATTTCAACCTCTGTAAAATAGACAGAACTTTGAATCTCTTAAATTTAGGGTATATATATTCTATCCCTCAACTACAGGATTTATTATTATTTCATATTTTGGAGGATTTTCTCTTCTATTTTATGTACAACTATTATTCCTTTTAGTTTCTAAGCTAGATTCATCTTAGTTTTGACAAACAAAAAGGCAGTGGGCTGGAGAAAGTACTGTATGAAATCTCTTGGTTCCATTCTTTTCTTCTCAGTTCTACTTATAACCATATGGAGTATTTGTTGGATATTAGCCTTTCACAAATAGGATAATTGCATTTGGAGCTACTAAAATATATTATAGCATTATGTCTTTGGTCTGAAATGATTAAAGTTGTATTTAGTTTAAGAAAATTAATTATCATAGAGCTCTGGTTTCCTTCCAGTATATACACAACGTTCCATAAACGTTAAAAGATATTATGAAAATAAAACACAGCATATGAGAAATAAATTCTAATAGAAGTACAAATGCTCCTCATGAATCTTCCTTTCATCAAACAGCATATCCATGCTGTACACACTACCCATCTGGCCTTGTCAGGTTTCAGTGCTTCAGGGTTACCCAAAGCAGATGCTCCTGATGTACCACCAGAATTCAGTACAGCCTAATGCTGCAAAGATATGTCTATGTCATTCACTTCATGGTATTTCATCACATGGGCAGGGCCATCTACTCACACTGTAACCAATGGAAAGGGGAGTATAGTACAAAGATATTTGGAGAGATCAGAGTCACATAACTTTTATTACAATGCATTGTTATAATTGTTCTATTATTACTTGTTGTTAATCTCTTACTATTCCTGTTTTATAAATTAAAGTTTATCATAGGTGTACATCTCTAGAATGAAACACCAAGTATAGAGAATTCAGTATTTTACTGAATTTCAGGGACTTGGGGTTCTTGGCAAGTATTTCATATGGATAAGGGAGTTGATTGCATATCTCCTCCTCTTGAGTGTTTGTACAAGGCAAAGACCATGTCTTGTTATCTTTGAATTCCCAGCACCTCACTCATTATCTCAGACAAATTAAGCACTTAATGAATAGCTGTGGAACTGAAGAAATTCAGTGTGCCGAAACATGGAGAGTATGTGGGGGAGGTGAGAAGTGAGACTAGACATAAAGGCAACATGCAGATAACCAGGGCCTAAGACATCAAACTGGGGAGTTTGTTTTTTTGTGTAAGTGACTGGGAGCCACTATATCTTTTTATGTAAGCAAGTAACAAAGACTATAATTGATTATTGGAAAGATAAGTCTGGCTGCAGTATTTGTGATGGATAAGGATGGGGAATGGCAGTGTCAGGAAGACTACCCAGAAATTTCAAAAACATAGTGGGTCCCTGAATTACAGCAATGTCAATGGGAAGAGGGATGTGTACCTCACTTTTCCCCCCTCTACATATACATGAGGAAAACAAATATGCAGTTGACATAGACATTTGATTAATTTTTTTCCACCATAACCAATTCTATTTCACTTAGTTTCTAACAAACTTGACAAGGAAAAACAGCTGCAAAAATATTGACTAACCTGGACTGTTATCATTTCCAAATGATTTAATGCTGCCTTGTGACAGTGCTAGCATCAAAACCATTACAACATGCTGCGCCAATTCTTTGTAGCCAAATTAAATAATTAGACTTAGGCATTACATATAAAAATTTCTCAGGCTGACGTACACATTATGAAAAGACCTTGGGACAGGGATTGGAACAAGTTCTCTCTTCCCCATGAAGCTTATCTCTTTTGCACTTCTGCCAAGCCAAGCAAAGTCATTTTGTTTCCACAGGATCATCAACCAAAACCCAGTAAAAAATTTGCTAACTCTAGAGACTATACTGTAACACCTAAAGTGTTTTAAGATTCCAGGAATCAGAAACGGAGGCTGGCTCTGCTGGATGTAAATGTCAGAGCTTTATTTTTTTTTTCTCCCAAATTAAAAATTCTTAGGCATGTGATTTTGAAGATTGCTCATAGTTTTCAAGACTTTTGGACAAGGACTCTTTTCTCTTCCCTTGGGTAGAGGATAAGTACACTGCCTAGCAGGTGTTATTTTCAGAAAAGAGACCTATTAGGTGGTTGGTTAACCATTCCCACCCTTTTGAGATGTAAGGAGCACTTACCTCTGTGTGTTCTGGTCTCCTAAAGTCCTGAGTTATTTCTCTGTTAAATCTACCCAAATTTGTTTTAATTCACCATAACCCTTCCTTCTAACTACTCTTTCCAGCAGTGCATTCTCCTATCACCTCAGTTCCTGTTTGTAATCTCCGTCCATCACTCAAGTACTCAAATTCCCATATTTGCTCTAGCAATACACTATTAGAAAATCTACAATCTGAACCCTTCCAAAATAAAAAGACCAAAGATACAATTATTCACATGGCTTTTTGTTTGTTTGTTTAAACTTGGAAATCACTGTTTAATATCAATTTTGGTGGAAGAATGACATAAGATGTCCTTGATTCAACCCATTAAAGAGCATAGGGATAATTCTGAGGATCAAAATGCCTTTAAACACCATGACATTTTCATGATTGTATATGTGCATTTTTTTTTCTAAAGAGAATGTCCATAATCTTCATCAACATCTCTTGATTTCTTATAAAAAATGACCAGGAAATTTCTGTTTTTCAAGTACAGTCAGTAACATTTGAAAGAATTTCTCATTTCTAACACAAGAAAGTGAGTCACTACTGTCACAAAATTTGACTTTTGAGACACTAACTAATTCCCCTAAGAACACCAAGTACTCTGAGGGAAAGACCCTAAGAAGTTTGACAGATTTCTGCCTTCATGGAACTTAGAGCTCAATGGAGATGAAATGTTCATCCCCAACAAAAAAGAAAATATTCTTATGACAAAGACCGAGAGTATTTAAATTAGTAGACTATTAAGTATCTT